TGAAACATACAACTTTCCTCTGGTTCCTAAATGCCTACTGGGAATAGGGGTTGGGGGTTTGGATCAGCTTCCAAGTCTAGGCCTGAGCCATCCTGGGGCCTTGGGGCTGGTGGGCGGGGAGAGGAAGGGGATTAGGTGTGGACTCAGGGAGGGGTCAGGCAGGGAGGATGCTCCATCCGGGAGGTGGCTGGTGGGTTTGAACTGCTTGCTGACTGTTTCGGTTAGCAACCCAAGGTGTTCAGAACCCACAACGCTATCATCAAGGCTCCTAGGGTGGGCTCTCAGTTCCTCTCAATGCAACTCATAGCAAAGCCATGGAACAGAGTAGAACGGCCTCTGGGGATTTGCAAACTAACTACTTACTGATTGGTGGTGCTAACTTAGCAACGCTCCAGACTTGGGTCTAGGGCGGTGGTTCTCAACCTGTGGGTCGCGACCCCTTTGGAGGTCAAACGACCCTTTCACAGGGATCACCCAATTCATCACAGGAGCAAAATGACAGTGATGAAGCAGCAACGAAAGTCATTTTATGGTTGGGGTGGGGGGGTCACCACCACACGCGGAACTGTAGGAAAGGGTCGCGGCCTCAGGAAGGTTGAGAACCGCTGCTCTGGGGTGTCCCCGGCGGGGGCGGGGGCTCGGGATTTGGGAAGCTGGGGGCGGGGTGGGGGGCGAGGGGCACCTGCAGTAGAGCGCCGAGATGGAATTGGACCAGTCCCCGAAGATGCCGCGCCGGTACTCCTCGAGGCGCGGGTAGGCGCCGGACGAGAACTTGCGCGTCTTGCCGCCCTTGCCGCGGAGGGACCACACGGTGAGCTCGCACCGCGGCGCCACCACGAGCGACGAGGCCGTGTTGCCCCAGTTGGAGGGCAGGAAGGGCAGGTCGGCGCCCGGCTCCACCGACAGCTCGGCGCCCTCGCAGCAGTTCTCGTAGTAGGGGTCGCTCTTGTCGAACAGCTTGGCGCACGTGCGCGTGCCGTCCGCGTGCTTGAGGTCGGCGGGCACCGGGCAGAGCCCCCACCCGCCCGGGGCGCCCGCCAGCACCGCGAGCAGCAGCAGCAGCAGCAGCGGGCGCAGAGTGCACATGGCGACAGTGCCGGGGCGCACCCCCTGCGCGCTTATATGCGCCCCACGCCGTGGGAATGGAGAAGCTGCTAGATAAGGGGCATACAGGGAGGGCAGGAATCCCCTCCCCCTGGAATCCCAGATCTGCCGCCCAGGGTTGAGATAAATCCAAGAAGGGCGTGTTTTCAGAAAAGTTCACAATTTCAATCAGGAGCCCTGGTGGTTGGGCTGCTAATCTCCGAGTCAGCAGTTCGGACCCACCGGGGCTCTGTGTGGAACAAGGTGAGGCTGTGGACTCCCGGAAGATGTCGGGCTTGGGAAACCCACTGGGGTGGGTCTCCTTTGACCCAGACTCGAGGGCCTAGCGGGTCGCAGTGAGTCCCAGTGGACTCAACAGCTGTGGGTTCATCTCAGTGTGGCGAAGGACGTGATAAGGAGCGCCCAGAGGGAGTGTGGGGTGTAATAAGACACGCGCTAAGGAAGGCTGGGGACTCCAACACGCCACTTGCCACCGTCACTGATTGGGGGTCTGGGAAAAGGCTGGGCGGGAGGGGGTGCCGGGGAGTCCCAGAGCAGGGAGCTGGGGAGACAGAGGCCCAGAAAGGGAGGGTGTGATGAGACAGGAGAGGAGCCCGGGAGCTTCCTAATGGTGGGGGCAGCCAGCCCCCCACAATGAATGGTGAGTTCGGTAAGCACCATTGTGTGGTTAAGATGGATAAAGATGGTCGTAGTCAGGGTGGAATAGAAGATCTGGAGAGAGAGCGAACAATAAAGGAGTCAGACACATTTCACAGCGGCATGCTCACCTCAGCTCCTTTTGGTGGTCCGAGGGGGGGTGGGAGAGGAGAGGGCAGGAGAGAATGCTTTCTGCATCCCACACCTACCCAAGTTTGGAAGCCCAGGACCTGAGCAAGACACGCTGGCCGTCCCTGTGCACCTCCTCAAAACCCGTGCAAGGCCACGTACAAACGGCCTGGGGGAGAGCGGTTCACAGCATCAAGGGCTCCAGACACTTGGGCCATTCCATTCCAATGGTGAGCTCATTCCAACTCACCCGGGGTTGGGGGGTGGGGGTGAGCTGTCCCTGTGGGTTTCCAAGCCTGTGAACCTTTATGGGAGCAGACAGCCTCATCTTTCTCCCTCTGAGCAGTTGGTGGGTTTGAACTGCCCAGCTTGCCCTCAGCAGCCCAACCGGTCACGGACTACACACCAGAGCTAATGGTGACAATGTAGAAAGAGGAAGCAACCACCACACAACGTATTGCCATCCAGGTGAGGGAGGTTGATCGTTTGAAACCACCAGCTGCTCCTTAGGAGAAAGATGAGGCTTTCTACTCCTGGAGAGAGTTACAGTCTCGGAAACCCACAGGTGCAGTTCCACCATGTCCTATAGGGTGCCCACGATGACTGTGTGAAGACATAGGCACAGCCATCGACCCACAATGACCCTGTAAGCCAGGTTGGCACTGCCCCTGTAAATGTCCCAGACATTCTGGGAGTAGAAACCCCCATTTCCCCCTAATGTATAAAGAGTACTGAACAAGCAAAAATGTACTTACAATTTGGCAAGTAAACATCGAGCCCTCTCCATCCCCCTCTCCCCCCAGCTCACCTTCAAAAGGGGAAGTCAAAGGAAGGGAGAGGGTGAAAAAAGGAGGCTGCCCCTCCACCCACCCCACCGCAGTTCCTAGCAGCCCCGAGAAATTCTGAACTCAGATGGGAAATCTACGCTATGACCAGCGCCCATGTTGAACTGTGTGAAACGTACAAGCTTTTGTGTGGAGCAACAAGAACAACACAAAGGGATAAGGAGAACAACCAAGCAGTACCGTGAGCAGGCGGAAAAGAACAAAGTGGTGAAGAAAGCTGATGGTGCCCGGCTATCAAATGATACAGCATTTGGGGTCTTAAAGGCTTGAAGATAAGCAAGTGGCCATCTAGCTCAGAAGCAACAAAACCCACATGGAAGAAGCACACCAGCCTGTGTGATCACCAGTTGTCAGGCATCAGCTATCAGGCATCAAAGAACAAAAAATCAAATCATTGTGAAGGAGGGGGAGTGCAGACTGGGGACCCAAGACCCATCTGTAGGCAACTGGACATCCCTTTACAGAAGGGGTCGTGGGGAGGAGACGAGCCAGTCAGGGTGCAGGGTAGCAATGATGAAACATACAACTTTCCTCTGGTTCCTAAATGCTTCCTCCCCTCTCCCCCCCACTATCATGATCCCAATTCTACCTTACAAATCTGGCTAGACCAGTGGATATACACTGGTACAGACAGGAACTGGAAACACAGGGAATCCAGGACAGATGATCCCTTCAGGACCAGTGGTGAGAGTGGCCAGACTGGGAGGGTGGGGTAGAAAAGGGGAACTGATTATAAGGATCTACATATAACTTCCTCCCTGGGGAACAAACAACAGAAAAGTGGGAGAATGGAGACGTCGGACAGTGTAAGATATGACAAAATAATAATAATTTATAAATGATCAAGGATTCATGAGTGAGGCGAGCGGGGAGGGAGGGAAAAATGAGAAGCTGATACCAAGGGCTCAAACAGAAAGCAAATGTTTTGAGAATGATGATGGCAACAAATGCACAAATGTGCTTGACACATGTATGGATGTATGGATTGTGATAAGAGTTGTATGAGCCCCCAATAAAATAATTTAAAAATATATATAAAAGAACAAAGCCAAAGGTAAGATTAAGGAGCCTCACAAGAAGGGGAGGGAAGCTGAGGACCCCAGGGCTGGACAGGGGCTCAGAGGCTGGGTGGAGCTCCCGGCCCCCTGGCAGACAAGAACAGGGGTCAGGAGTACCTGTGCCCATCTGGACAAGGGTGCAAATCTGAGGTCCTGTGAATGAGGGCTAGTCTGAGCCTCAGTTTCCTCATCTATCAAATGGGGTCAGAGTTGTTCCTACCCCCTGAGATGATGGCGGTGGACAGTCGTGCGATGTAGGAGCCCTGGAGGCCTAGTGGATTACCCATTGGGCCACCAGCCTCCGGGGAAGTCATCTGCTCAACAAGAGAAAGAGGAGGCTGTCTACTCTTAAAAAAATTTTTTTAATCCAATAAAATCATTATTTATTTGTTAGCATGAAGACATAAGAGTTGGTTGACTGGCTGAATTCTCACTTTTTAACTGTCCTTTGTCACATTGGAAGGAGTGGCCGCTGGGGCCTCCTGTGAAGACTTACAGCTTCCGAAACCTACAGTGGCTCCTCTCGGGCCCCCGTGAGTCGGCATTGACTCCGTGGCAGCGTTTGGTTTCTGTGGTTAAGAGAAGAGCCCGGGGAAGCTGACTGCCTGGGTTCAAATCCCAGCCCTGCTCTAGGAATGTTTTAACAGTTCTTCTACTCCCTGGGGCCTCGTGGAAAGGAGCCCTGGTGGTGTAGCGGTTACTCGTTAGGCTGCTCACTGCAAGGTCAGCAGTTTGAAACCACCAGCCGCTCCTCAGGAGAAAGATGAGGCTTTCTGTGAGTTCGAGGCTTGGAAACCCACCAGGGCAGTTCTATCCTCGGTCCTATAGGGTCGCTATGAGTTGGCATCGCCTCGATGGCAGTGACTTTGGTTCGGTTTGGGGCCTCATGGAGGCAAATGAATTAATCCCTATCACAGCCCTTAAAGTAGAGCCAGGCCCTTGGTCAGGGCCACCTGAGTAGCTGCCACCGTTATTACTGCGAAAGCCCTCAGTACAGAGCTTGGCACATCCTGAGGGCTCACAGACCTACACTATAACTACAGCAGCGGTATTATCCACACAGTCACACAATGAACCCTCCTCCCCCTTTCCCCCCTGCCAACTACTGGAACTGGGTCTTTTGGTCTTCCACCTTGTACAGGATAGTGCAGTGGTTCCAAGCCCATAACCCTCTGTGGTGAGTTCAAATCCCAACTCTGCCACCTGTCTGCTGAGTGACCTTGGGCAAGTGAGCTCACCTCTCTGAACTTTAGTTTCTTCATACCTCCAGTGGGATGAGCTCCATGAGGTCACCACGTGGAGTCATTTCGAATGACTGTAATAAAACATCAACACCGGGCACAATCCCATAGCAGTCATGACTTATTAATAGTCACATCTAATATTGAATTAATATGATCACATGAGCAGAAGCCTATACAGTCCAGTGCCAGGCCCCTGGCTAGGTGTTCAGTAAATGAGCGAAATTATGCTTATTCTTAGGGTGATTCGGAGAGCCTGCCAGGCCTGGATATCTTCTCTCTCTTTTCCTCCCCCTGATCCCGTCCAATCTTATCAGCAGCTGCCCACTTCCCAGCCAACCTCCTTGACTTCCAGGGCCACAGAGCCCATGCCTCCAGCCCTGCAGTGGCCAGGGACACAGGGATGGAGACATTCAGGAAGCACGCACAGTCACCAGGAGTGCCACCCACCCAGGTGAGCTCCAAACAGGGCTGTGGAGACCCTGATGGGAAGGCAGAGCCCCGGACCACCTGAGGCCACCACTGCCCATGGCCCAAAGCTCGGGACCATGAGCACACGCTATCCTCGATCCAGGGCCACGCATGGGTATTGGGCTAAACGTCACCCCATTCACAGGCAGCCATCGGAGGGCCACCAGTTCTCAGTGGGGGGCTAGAGGTTTGCATGTTTGATCCACAGCCCCAGAGTTTCTCTCTGAATCCCACCCTCACAGCCACAACCACGTCTTCAGTCCTGGACCCACTACCCCCCCACCCCCACCAGTCTCACATGTTAACAAACCCATGCCAATACCTAGCTCTCTCTCTCTCTCTCTCTCTCTCTCACACACACACACACACACACACACACCAGCCTCACCCAGGAACAACTGCCCTCTGGTTTATGATTATAAACTGAGCAAATAGAAAAATAAACATCTCCTTAGTACACAAGAGTTTTCTTTTCTTTAAATGGAAAAATGGCCTGCCCTTGAGGAACCCGCGGGACCTTGACAAAGCCAGTCAATCAATAATTCAAACCCAACGGGAAGAGAGAGTTATTACCGGGGCATTACAAAGGACTCTGGGAGGGC